ACACCTGGACTATAGAAAGTACACCTGGACTATAGAAACCACACCTGGACTATAGAAAGTACACCTGGACTATAGAAAGTACACCTGGACTATAGAAAGTACACCTGGACTATAGAAAGTACATCTGGACTATAGAAAGTACACATGGACCATAGAAAATACATCTGGAATATAGAAACCACACCTGGACTATAGAAACCACACCTGGACTATAGAAAGTACATCTGGACTATAGAAACCACACCTGGACTATAGAAACCACACCTGGACCTGTCATTCTGTGTCTCTTTCTACTTCCTGTCCTCTCAAACCAGCTGGTTGAAGCAGATGTCTGCTCGTCCTGATCCTGGTTCTTCTGGAGGTTTCTTCCTGTTAAAGGGAGTTTTTTCTTTCCACTGTCTCCTCTGTTCTTGCTCAGGATGGGAGACTGTGACGAAGTGAAGCTTCAACACAATCTGCTGCTTCCTTAGATAATTTTTACTGATCATCTTTTTTAATGTCTGTGAACAACTGGGAGGAGACCCCGGGGAAGACCCAGGACACGCTGGAGAGACTATGTCTCTTGGTTGACCTGGGGACGCCTTGGGATCCTCCCAGAAGAGCTGAAAGAGTTGGCTATGGAAAGAGATGTCTGGGCCTCCCTGCTCAAGCTGCTGCCCCGACCCGACTTCTGAATAAGCGGAAGATAATGGATGGATGGATGTTTCTGTTCAGCGTCCTGAGACGACTTCTGTTCTGACTTGGAGCTATAGACATAAACTGAATTGAGTTTTTCTGTTTGACATGAATGGAGACTCTTCAAATCCTTGAAAGCCTTTGTGCTTTGAGTATATTTGCTTCATTTGTATTAGCTTTTAGCAACTGTTCCGCTTGTATTAGCTTTTAGCTACTGTTCCATTTGTATTAGCTTTTAGCTACTGTTCCATTTGTATTAGCTTTTAGCTACTGTTCCACTTGTATTAACTTTTAGCAACTGTTCCATTTGTATTAGTTTTTAGCTACTGTTCCATTTGTATTAGCTTTTAGCTACTGTTCCACTTGTATTTACTTTTAGCAACTGTTCCATTTGTATTAGTTTTTAGCTACTGTTCCACTTGTGTTAGGTTTTAGCTATTGTTACACTTGTATTAGCCTTTAGCTACCGTTTTGTGTGCCGGTTTTAAACTGAATGGAGTTCAGCCTCCTTACATGGCGTAGTTGCATGCTATGCCACATGTAGCTCTGTGCTTGCTGTAGAAGCGGTTCTCCAGGTCCAGCTTGGTCTCTCCTATCAGATCGTCGGTCCCCACCAGGTCCCAGTCATAGATCGACACCGTCAGAGTGGAATCCATTGGGAATGTGGCCTCCACGTCAAAGGATCTGACAACACGGTAAACACGCTTTGAAACATAACTGACAACATGTTAAATCATATTTTAGTGATAAGTGCGGTTTTTGTTTCTTACTTGCCAAACAAAGGGTTCAGCTGCTTTGAAATGTAGTTCTCTTTATCTTTGATCTCGGTTTTTCCCAGTCGGATTGCGATGTAGGGGTCGGCTTTCCCATTTATGTCTGCCGGATGCAGATCTGTAGCCTATTTAACAAAAAGAAAAACAATATCACAGTAAATATTACCTCTTTCTAAAAGATTCATCACGATGTAAAATGTCAAGGAGCACAAAGTTTTACCCTGATGACATAAATGCGGGCAAGAACATTGATGGGGTCGTTGCTGGGAATGTTCTGAAACATTCCCATGTTGGAGTCGAAGTTCGTGTCTCTGGACGCATCATCCGACACTTTGTACACACACAGGGAGCCCTAAATGGAAACAAAACTACCATGAAGTCATTTTACTAACCAATAATTACAGAGCTTTGAACAAGTCTTCATACATCTCAACTTCCCCAAACTTTGTCACGTTACAACCACAAACTTTAAAGCAGGGGTCCCCAACCCTGGCCCTTGAGGAACACCAACCTCATGTTTTAGTTGTTTCTCTGCTCCTACACTCCTGATTTTAATAAAAGGTTGATTAACAGGCTTCTGCAGAACTTGACGGAGTATTTAAATCACTGAATTAGGTGCGTTGGAGCAGGGAAACAACTAAAACATGCAGGATGGTGTTCCCCAAGGATCAGGGTCGGGTACCATTGCTTTTATGTTTTTTTTTTTTTCTTCATTCGGCTGATAGATTCTACAGTGAACTAACTCCCATGAAGACTTGGCGATTGTTTTAACATCAGATGTCCTTCCTGAAACAACCACAGACCACCGAGCTACCACAGCCCTCTGTGTGGAGCAGGGAGCTGCAGTCTAGATGGTGGGGGTTAAGGACCTTGCTCAGGGGCCCAAAGTGGGGAGTGAGGGTGGAGGCAGGTGTGGGTGCTTCACCTTTCCCACCCACATTTTGATGTTTTGGGTCTAAGGAGTCGAACTGGCGACCTTCTAATCACAGGCCCACCTTCTCTAACCTCTGCACCACCACTCCCCCTACAAACTTTTGAAGTATTTGCTGGGATTTTATTTAAATACAGACCAACACAACATAGTGCAGAGTTGTGAATGAAAGGACAGTGATACATGGGTTTCATTTTTTTTTAACTAAAAATTTAATAAATACATAAATAAATAGAACTAAAACGTGAGGTGTGGATTTGAGTCATTTTTTTGTAAAAAATTAAATTAAATTAAAAAGCACCTTTTGTTACAGGTCTTTGGGGTTTGTTTTTTTCAACTTTGCACATCTAAAGAATAAAATGTTCGCCTGTTCTGTTGAGTAAAACAGCTGAAATTCAGTCGAAGTGAATGGACAGGATCTGTGAACAACAATGTTCAAGTCTTACAACAAATTGTCCTCGTCAGTTTAGGTGGGCGGCCACGTTTCGTAGGTTTGAAATTAAACCGCACTCTTTCTATTTTTATTTTCCATTTTCAGATGATGGACTGAGTTCTGTGAGACGTTCAAAGCTTAAAATATAAAGTTTATAATCCAACTCTGCTTTAACCTTCTTAACTTTATCACTGATTTGTCTGTTGGGTTCCTTTGTCTTCATGATGCTGTTTATTTAATTAATTATTTCTATAGCACTTTACACAACCATGGTGATGGTGACCATGATCATTGAAGTTTTGTAACAACAACAAAACAAAACCTGAGGCCATAAATTATTTCAGATTAAATCTGAGATTACATCACGAACGGCTGAGCTTTTTTTTATGAATTAGAAAAATTGCATTTTTTGCAAAAATTCTGAAAAACTGTTAAAACTTCCAGAAGAAGCTGAAATTGATGTGTAAAAGCCAAAAGAGATAGAACTCTAGGCCAAAAAGAGAAAAACATGAACTAAAGGCTAATAGAAGCTAAAATGCTAACTAAAAGCCAAAATTTGCAGATGTTAGTTAAAAAGCTGAAAGTAGCAAAATATTAGCCAAATGCTAAAAGTAGCAAAAAAATACCTAAAAGCTAACAATAGCAAGAATAGCTAAAAGCCAAACAAATAGGTAACTAACACCTAAATTGTAATATGCTAGCTAAAAGCAGCAAAATTAAAGTATAAAAGTAACAAAAAGCTTGCTAAATGTTAAAAAAGCAAAAGAGTAGCTAAAAATAGCAAAAGGCTAACAAAAAAGTAGCAACACACTACCTAAAAGCTAAAAGTAGCAAAACACTAGCTAAATGTTAATATTAAAGAGAGGATGGCTATAAGCTAAAAGTAGTAATGTATTAGCTAAAAGCAGCAACAGATTAGCTAAAGGCTTAAAGTAGAAAAGGGCCAGCTAAAAGTTAAGATAGCAAAATAAAAATAATAATAAAATAATAAATAAATAAAAAAGCAAAAGCGAGCTAAAAGCATCTAAACTCTAACTTAAAGCTAAAAGCAACTAAAGGCTAACTAAAAGCTCAAAGCAACTAAAGGCTAACTAAAGGCTAAAAGCAACTAAAGGCTAACTAAAAGCTAAAAGCAACTAAAGGCTAACTAAAAGCTCAAAGCAACTAAAGGCTAACTAAAAGCTCAAAGCAACTAAAGGCTAACTAAAAGCTCAAAGCAACTAAAGGCTAACTAAAAGCTCAAAGCAACTAAAGGCTAACTAAA